TGGTCCAGTTGTGAGGATTTTTGTTTTCCTTACGTTGACGTATAATCCCTACTGAAGGCTGTGGTCTCTGATCCTCATCAGTAAGTGCTTCACGTCCTCTTCGTTTTCAGCAAGGAAGGTTGTGTAATCTGCGTATCATATCCAGTTGTGAGCCCAGTGTAAAAATGGGCTTAAAATATTTCTCGAAAAGAGACATAGCAACAAGCAGCGGCCCGAATCCAAACTTTAAATTGATCACGATATTGAGACACAATTCTTTTTTTTTTTAATTGTGCTTTAAGTGCAAGTTTACAATTCAAGTCAGTTTCTCATACAAAAATTTATACACATACTGTTATGTGACCCTAGGTGCTCTCCTTATACTGTGACAGCACACTCCTCTTTTCCACCTTGAATTTGCCATTTCCATTCAACCAGCTCCTGTCCCTTTCTGCCTTCTCATCCCACCTCCAGATAGGGGCTGCCCATTTAGTCTCATGCATCTACTTGAGCTAAGAAGCACACTCTTCACAAGTATCATTTTATGTCTTATAGTCCAGTCTAATCTTTGTCTGAAGAGTTGGCCTCAGGAATGGTTTCAGTTTTGGGCTACGAGAGAGTACGGGGGCCATGTCTTCAGGAGTCCCTCCAGTCTCAGTCAAACCATTAAGTCTGTGAGACACAATTCTTAGCATCATTTCTTCCCACTTCTTTTACAAACCTACTCAAAAGATTGGTACCCAAATTATAGTGTAATATGAACAAAATCACCATACCACTCTGTGGGCAATTTATATTATTCGTATAAAGATGCTCTTCACTACTGCTCTTTGAGCTTGAGAAGAAGCTAACACCACAGTTTCCCAGGCACAGTAAAGAGAAAACCCTTTTCCCACTGCCTTCCGGGAACTGTTAAGGTGGTAGGATCTCACCCAGGCGTGAGAAGCTGGACTAAAGATCACTCTAAAGTTTGTTCTTAAGGTTGTGTATGTGTGTGTGTGAGGGGGGATGGGGAGTGTTATGGATTATGTCCCCCCAAAAGTTATCTTGAAGTCCTAACTCCTAGTATCTGTGAACATGACCTTGTTTGGCAATAGGGTCTTCAAAGATGTTATCAGTTAACATGAGGTCGTAAAGGAGCAGGATGGGTCCTAATCCTGTCTGAATAGTGTACTTACAGGAGAGGAGAAGAGACACAGAGAGACAAAGAGAAGAGAAGCAGAGTTATGCTGCGGCTCAAGCAAAGGAATGCCTGGGGCTACCAGAAGTTGGAAAAGGCAAGGAAGGATCTTCCCCTAGAACCTAGCATAGTTCTGCCAGTACCCTGAATTCAGACTGTTATTAGCTGCCTTGGAGTGGGCATCTGACTCAGGGCGGCCCCATGTACAATAGAACGAAACTCTTCCTGGTCCTGTGCCATCCCTGTGATTGGTCGCTGACTGGACTGTTGTAATCTGTATAATTTTCACTGGCTGACTTTCAGAAGTAGATCACCAGGCCTTTCTTCCTAGTCTGTCTTAGAGTGGAAGCTCCACTGAAACGTGTTCAGCATCATAGTAACAAGTCAGCCTCTACTGACAGAGGGGTGGTGGCTATGTGTGAGATGCATTGGCTGGGAACTGAACATTGGTCTCCCGCATAGAAGGCGAGAATTCTACCACTGAACCACCAATGACCCCAAATTCATACTAGCTTCCACAACGATGAGACAATAAATTCCTGTACTTATAAGTCACCCAGGTTGTAGTACTTTGTGACAGCGGCCTCAGGACATGAATACACAGAGCAATAGGCAGACCGCTGTGGCAGAACCTGTGACAACATCATCCCAAAAAAAATCCTCTATTGCAGGCCATGCCTCAACCAACCTTGCCCTAGGAAGGCACATGTGACGTGACCTTCTGCCTTCAATGCAGGAGTGATTTTCTCCTTGGCTCCCACAGAAGACAGTGGACAGCACCCTCCCATTGCTTTCTTACAGCGGAGGACACTGGGTTCCAGAAACCTCAGGACGTAAACAGGTCTGAATGAAGAAACTTGGCTAGAATAGTAAAACTTTCATCTTCTTAACAGACATTAGATTTTAGAGACTATCAAGGGGAAACCCTGGTGGTGCAGTGGTTAAGAGTTTGGCTGCTAACCAAAAGGTCAGCAGTTCGAATCCACCAGCCACTCCTTGGAAACCCTATGGGGCAGTTCTACTCTGTCCTATAGGGTCACTATGAGTCAGAATCAACTCGACAGCAATGGATTTTGGTACGGGTCATTTCTAGAGGCTGTTTATTAAGAGAATGGATTTGTTTTTCAATAGGCTTTCTTGATACATTATTTACAACAGTTTGAGCCAATTCTGTAGTATATACGCTATCAATCATTATGCACATTAATGCAGAAATCTATAGAAAATAGGAGCTAGCCTTCAGTTTGGAATGTGAATGAAGATCTTAAATGCATGTACTTTACTAATGAAACACTGGGCTTCACACCAACTGCACCTGCAGTTCCTATGCTTGCGAGCTATACCCTGCTGCCATGGAGCTGATTCCAACTCACAGCAACCCTACAAAACAGAATAGAACTGCCCCATACGGCTTCCAAGGACTGCCTGGTGGATACGAACTGCCGACCTTTTGGTTAACAGCCTATCTTTTAACTACTGCACCACAGGGGTGAGCTACAGTCAGCCAATACTGTTGGTTCTCTAAAGCAATGGTTTCTCAGGACCATGAGCTTCTAGTTTGTCTCACTCGCAAGCTCTGTGTGTCTAGACAGCCACCTAAGAAAGCAACGGCAGGTACTTTTTCAGGAAACAAATATTACGATATTGCAAAATGGATTAAGAATGAACCACAGTAGAAGTCTGCTATAAGGGTAAGGTCCAAAGCATGGCAAGGAATTCCCTTTCAGCTTCCAAAACAGGTGAGGTGAGGTTGGGGCTCCCTTTGGCTCAGCAGCTCCACTGCCCCAGACTGGCATGGTCTCTGGAAATTCAGGGGATCACTGGGCACTTACATAATAGCATCACCATTGAGCCACACAGGTGACCTCTAAGCTGGGTTCACTTTGGGTAGGTCCTCAAAGGCTACTGTGCTCATTGCACAAGTTTGTCATCTCCAAGAACATTAGTTGAGCAATTGGAACCAAAAAGACAGATAAGTATAAAACCATAAAAACCAGGGACTGACTGGAAATCAAACCAATATTTCTTTCTTTTCTTCTCTCAGCTTTACTCAGTTCTTAAAAGATTTTTGTATGTGTTGGAACTGCCCTTCAACATAGAGTTTTTTTGAGTAAGGAGATCTGGATCATATTGTTTTTATTAGAGAAAATCTGACTTTTCTTTAAAATTGTAATAAACATGGAGTATAGAGCTGAGAGAGGAAAAAATTAGGGTAATTTTCCATTACAATTCTAAATGGGTCCAAATATTTTTCTCCCAGAGAGAAATTAACTGCTGATGTGAAAACTACCTAAAACAATGATCTAGTGCTATGGCAACTGCTCAGAAGAATCTGTCTGTGAGAAAATCTGATGGAATTTACTATAGTTTCTCCATACTACTTCTCTGAGTACATCAGACTTGCTGCTCTGGGCTATGGAGAACGAGACTCCCAATTCTGTCAGTCAAATGTCACCCTGCCATGGTCTACCATCAAGGCCTCTGACACCCAGAAGGGGTGATGGGAGGGATTGCAGGATGCCCTTTGGAACTCCTGACCCAGCCCTTAGGCTTGGTATGTCTTAATTTGCTCCACTGAGGGGTGGCAGTCCAGAAGAGAGAAGTGTATTCACTCAATGAAAATTTGGTTTATGACTTGTCCTTTTTCAAAGGATTGTGGGGCAGGCCCCTGGGGTAAGGCTGGATTAAGGAAAACCAAGTAGTCAGTCTGGTTTGGAACCTGTCCCATAACCCATGTCAGGTCTAAGTCAGTGTGAACTGAGGGGGCAGATTCACTCTAAGGATGTTCTGAGGATGTGTCCCCATAATGGTCAACTTAGCAAGCCCTTGATCTGACCCTAGGTCAGAAACATACACAGCCCCCAGATCTGATCCCAAGGGCGTGTTAAAATGCCCCTGCTTCCCACTGCTCCTCTACATTGGGCCAACCACGCATCCTCTGGCCAGACGGAGTCCCTGAGACAGCCCTTGAGTGGAGTGTGGGAACAGGCTCACATTTTAGTCCAATGTCCACCCACATGGTTCTTTTAACCCACTGCTGTCGAGTCGACTCTGACTCATAGCGACCCTATAGGACAGAGTAGAATTGCCCCATAGGGTTTCCAAGGAGTAGCTGGTATTCAGACTGCTAACCTTTTGGTTAGCAGTTGAGCTCTTTTTGGGGGAAGCTTATTTAATTTACATGGCCAGTCAGAGAAGTCCTTTGAAAATATGGTTTGGTGAGGATGGTTGAGATGTCCCAGCAAGTGAGCCCATCAAGAATAGGTTGGTGACTTGATCTTCTAAAAATAAAATGATCTCTATACTAAAGTCCATCAGTTCTATAGCATCTCATCCCAAGAGAAGAACTGCTTTTAGCTTGGCACAAAATGCATGTGTGTTTAAGAATGTGATTAAAGGTTTGATCACCTCAGACTGAGACACGTGCCTGACAAGATACACTTAACTGAAACATAACTGATGGACTGCTCCAGGGTCTTATTTCAGGCATAATGAGCTCCTGAATCTAAGCTTTAATGTCACATAGGAATGAAGCAATGGTTACTCTTGTCCTCCATACTTATTCAGAGTCCCTGGGTGGTGCGAATGTGCTCAGCTGCTAACCAAAAGGTTGGAGGTTTGAGTCCAGCCAGAGGTGCCTCAGAAGAAAGGCCTGGCCATCTACTTCCAAAAAAATCAGCCACTGAAAACCCTGTGGAGCACAGTTCTTCTCTGACACACATGGAGTTGCCATGAGTCAGAACTGATTCGACCACAACTGGTTTTTCCTCACCAGCTCACTATTATGAGAATTGCATGTCTGTCACCCTGGAATTCTTACCCGAGTGCAGAGCTGACCTACCTCTCTCTGGAGATTGATGTCTGCTCCCTGTAGAACCAGCTCCCTCACACAGTTCAGGTGACCCGCGTAGGAGGCGACCATGAGGAGTGTGGTGCCGTGCTGGATGGAGGAGAAAGAGATGATGAGTTAGGCCGGGCCGCCCTCAGGTCTGAGAGAGGGTTCCTGGCAAGGACTGCAGCAACGTCAGCCCCCTTAGGACACATCTGTGCTCCAATCTTCCTGCAGTAATACAAGTACCGCATGAATAATCGTATAATGCAGACTTGATGGAAAAAAAGCAAGGCGACAAATTGCAGGGGTTGGAATTTTCAATTTAAAAATTCACTCACTTCCGTTACCTTCAGAAATACACTCCAACTGAACCAGAGTTACTGCATGTTAAGGCAGCAGTGATGTAATGACTTCATTTTATGATTCAGATGAAATGACTCCTGAGCCAAAACACTATTATTAATGCAAAAAAATGTGTCAGACGGTACTGGTTGGTCTTCTGCATTTAGAAGTCTTTGTCTTCAAAATAGTTCAGGTGAAGATGAAAGGCACTACAATGAAACGAGATTAAAGCGTGAAGAGGCAGGAGCCTTGGGCCTGTCTACCTCTGGCATCAACCAACAGTATAACCTGGGGCAAGTTGCTTCCAATGACTGGGACTCATTTACTCCATCTTTGAAATGAGGGATTGGATGATTGCCAAGATCTCTTCCGGGTTTAAGATTCAAGGACTTGAGGCACAGCATGTGAGACAGACCCTTCTAATTAAAGTGGACTTTTGTAGTTTACAGTTATTTTCAAGGGCTTCTAAATTGTGATCTTACCCACCACCTATGTCCAGCAGCCTACTCTTCAGGAGTGGACAACAAGAAATGCAGTTTTGCATATGAGACTCACCAGGAATAGGGTGATAAGTGAATTTTAGAAGTTTATGTTATTTACACCTGTGGGGATTTTGTAGGAAGGCAGGATAGTTGAATGCTTACTCACAGTATCGTCTGTGGCAGTTTTACATAACCTTTCAAATCTCATTCTCCTCATCTGTAAAATGCGGGAATAATAAAAGTATCTGCCTCGTTAAATGAGTAAATGAGATAATACAGGCAATGTGCTTAGTACAGTAATGTTAGATGAACTAGTGTTCAGTACATGTTAGATATTAAAATAATGATAGTTCAGTAAATGTTAGGTTATCATCTGGCTTTTGGTGACTTCTGCAAACGGCAATGCTAGTTTTGGGAAAGTCTTATTTACTATATATAAAAAGACTACAGGCAGAGTCAAGAAAAGCTAATGACTTCACAGTAGTGCTCTGATATTTTTTCTATGCCATGTGACCATATTTGGCCTTTGAATGTGAAACCTCTATGTAGACTGTACCATCCATTATTCTATTGAACTTCTTCCTCTGTGTTCTCCAGTATTGGAGTGGCAATCTTGGTATTACTAACTTCCTCTTGAATGTGAGAAATTTTATTTAGATAGCAGATAAGAGAACCCTTGCTTTAAAGCCAATCTGAATAGACAAGCTATATAAAAGGTGAGAATTTTTATCATGGGTCACACTACTCTCGAAGTAAAATTAAACATAAACCTGAGGAAATACAAAGCACTCAATTTGGATATTTTAAAAAGATTAAAAAACAGCAGACTCATTTGTTTTAAAGTAAAGAAAAATGAACAAAGCAAATAACAAAAGTACTTTGTAGACTGTATTTCAATTCTACATCATGTCCAATTGCAAAAAAGTCAGAGGTTGGGGCAAAGGAGAAAGAATAAAGAAGCGGTATCTGTTGCTGCATTAAGCTACACAAAAATATTTCTTTTATATTCAAAACTCATCAGTTTGATTGATTTTAATTCTTTAAAGATTAAGGACCCAGTATCAGGATTGGAGGAAGGCTCATTAACCTGCTATAAGCAGATGACACAAATCTGCTTCAAAAGACCTCTTTAAAGTGTTAAAAAGCAAAGATATCACCTGGAAGACTAAGGTGCTTCTGATCCAAGCCATGGTGTTTTCAATTGCCTCATATGCACGTGAAAGCTGAACAACGAATAAGGAAGACCAAAGAAGAACTGATGCCTTTGAATTATGGTGTTGTCGAAGGATACTGAATATACCAGAAAAATGAACAAATTTGTCTTGGAAGAAGTACAGCCACAATGCTCCTTAGAAGCAAGGATGGCGAGACTATGTCTCACATACTTTGGACATGTTATCAGGAGGGACCAGTCCCTGGAGAAGGACATCATGCTTGGTAGAAGGTGAGCAAAAAAGAGGAAGACCTTCAAGGAGATGGACAGACACAGTGGCTTCAACAATGGGCTCATACATAGCAATGACTGTGGGGATAGTACAGGATTTGCAGTGTTTCATTCTGTTGTACATAGGGTTGCTATGAGTTGGAACTGACTTGACAGCACCTAACAACAACAACATATATACATGCTAAAGCTAAACAATGAATAAGGAAGATGAAGATTTGAAGCCCTTGAATTATGGTGTTGGCAAAGAATACTGAATATACTATGGACTGCCAGAAAAACGAACAAGTCTGTGTTGGAAGAAATACAGCCAGAATGCTCCTTAGAAACGAGGATGACGAGACCCTGTCTCACATATTTTGGACATGTTATCAGGAGGGACCAGTCCCTGGAGAAGGACATTACGCTTGGTAAAGTAGAGGGTCAGCAAACAAGAGGAGGACCCTCAACAAGATGGACTGACATAGTGGCTGCAACAACGGGCTCAAAGAGCAAAGACTGTAGGATGGCGCAGGACCTGGCATTGTTTTGTTCTGTTGTACACAGGGTCACTATGAGTTGGAACTGACTCAACGGCACCTAACAACAGCAACAAAGATTAATTTATTTCATTGCTGGAAATTAAAATTCAAAATCAGTTTTCATTTTAATGTTATCCTATTATCCCAGTCAATTCTAATACTTGATACGTGTATGTGTATCTTTTAAAAAATAACTGGTTTTGACCAGATATGATGGGTATAAATGTAGTGAAAACCACAACAAACAAGACAGTGAAGTACATATATTAATACATCTAAAAAGACTAAAAGAACCCTGCCATTGCACACCTTTGTGGTAGATGTGTGTCAACAGCATAGACCAGTGATGGACTGCATTAGAGATGAGCTAAGCAAAAAATGTAAAACAGCGGTGTATAAAACAGCAGCTAATGTAAAAAACATTGTGCAAAAATAGCATGAATCTAGGAATTGAACATGAATGTTAGCAAATTAAAACGCTGGCATTCAGAGGCCTAAAGTATTTGCTGCCATTTGTTGGAAAAGTGTGAATATGTCATACTTGAGGTTAGGAACAGTTTCCAAGAGAGCCCACTGGGTCCATCGTTGCATTGTAATGGCTCTCACAGGCTTTCTAGGGGATCCTGGGGCCTTGGCCCCATGAGCGAGGGCAATACTGGCCTGGGAAACCAACTACCTCCACAAGAAAGCAGCCTGGAGCCTGAACTCCCTGTTCAGGCAGCACATGGAGAAGGCAAATATGAACACAGTGAAATTCAGGGGAAACAAAGGGTTGCACTGTTCCCAAACATCTCCCTGCCCCTCAGACACCACCAACCTGAGAGGCCCCTTTAAAATAAATGAGATGTCGGAAATTATCATCATTTAGAGTGGTTTCACGGGGCTAAGGAATTCTCTCCAGAGCGCTCCTGATAAAATGATTTTTTTTAAACAAGGAGGGCTGACCTATAAACATACTTGTGTATGTTCAAAAAAGCAAATTTTTGGATCAAAATAGCTACTAGTCACCCAGTAGATGGAGAGTGTGAGCTCTGAGGGAAAGAGGAAAGACAGACGCCTTTTGATGGGGAAAGGTGCTGAGAAGGCTGATTGTATGGGGTGTTGTCTGGGGGCAGGATGGACGTGGTACAGCAGGGTGACCCTAGGAAGTCAGGAGAAAGACCCAAGGGTGTCTGAAAAGGAGTGAAAGGGAAAAGCATCAACCAAGTGGTCAGTGGGGGTGAGGCAGTTTTTTTTTTTTTATTGTACTTTAGCTGGAAGGTTTACAAAACAGTTTCTCGTTAAAGTTAGTACACATATTGTTTTACGACATTGGTTAACAACCCAACAACATGTCAACACTCTCCCTTCTCAACCTCGGGTTCCCTATTACCAGCTTTCCTGTCCCCTCCTGCCTTCTAGTCCTTGTCCCTAGGCTGTTGGTCCCATCAGTCTTGTTTTGTTCTATGGGCCTGTCTAATCTTTGGCTGAAGGGTGAACCTCGGGAGTGACTTCATTACTAAGCTAAAAGGGGGTCAGGGAGCCATACCTCTCAGGGTTTCTCCAGTCTTTGCCAAGCCAGTAAATCTGGTCTTTTTTGTGAGTTAGAATTTTGTTCTACATTTTTCTCCAGCTCTGTATGGGACCCTCTGTTGTGATTCCTGTCAGAGCAGTCAGTGGTGGCAGCTGGGCATCATCTGGGTATACTGGACTCAGTCTGGTGGAGGCCATGGTAGCTGTGGTCTGTTAGTCCTTTGGACTAATATTTCCCTTGTACCTTGTTTTCTTCATTCTCCCTTGCTCCCGAAGGAGTGAGACCAGTAGAGTAGCTTAGATGGCTGCTCACAAGCTTTTAAGACCCCAGATACTACTCGCCAAGGTAGAATGTAGAACATTTTGTTTATAAACTATGTTATGCAAGTTCAGCTAGATGTTCCCCGAGACCACGGTTCCCACAGCCCTCAGCCTGGGTGAGGCAGTTATGCCCGATGTGGCACTGCTGCCCCATGAGGTAGGACAGCCACTTCACAGATGCCCAAGACTCCAATCAGTCTGGGTCCTGGCAAGAAACAGATGGTGCAACAAAATGAGGATACCCTGAAGAAAGTTTAATGAAGACACTATTTATAAAGACGTGGTACACAGAAGAAAACATTCTTTGATGGTTACAAGGGTGGGGAGGGAGGGTGAAGGTTATTTACTAACTAGATAGCAGATAAGAATTATCTTAGGTGAAGGGAAGGACAGCATACACTACAGGGGAAGTCAACACAACTGGACTAAACCAAAGCTAAGAAGTTTCCTGAATATAATCAAACACTTTGAGGGACAGAGTAGCAGGGGTGGAGGTCTGCAGACCATGGTTTCAGGGGACATCTAGATCAATTCATGTAACAAAGCTTATTAAGAAAATGTTCTGCATCCTACTTTGATAAGTGGCGTCTGGGGTCTTAAAAGCTTGCAAGTGGCCATCTAAGATGTATCAATTGGTCCCAACCACTTGGAGTAAAGGAGAATGAAGAGCACCAAAGATACAAGGAAAGTATTAGCCCAAGAGACAGAAAGGGCCACATAAACCAGAGACTTCATCAGCCTGAGACCAGAAGAATCGATGGTACTCGGCTACCACCAATGACCGCCCTGACAGGGAATACAACAGAGAGTCCCTGATGGAGCAGGAGAAAGGTGGGGTGCAGAACTCAAATTCTAGTAAGAAGACCAGACTTAATGGTCTGAGACTGGAAAGCACGGCCCCCAGATTCTCTATCAGCCCAGAACTAAAACAATTTCCGAGGCCAACTCTTCAGACAGGGATTGGGCTGGACTGTGGGACATAAACTGATACTCGTGAGGAGTGTGCCTCTTAGCTCAAGTAGACACAAGAGACTAAACGGGCAGCTTCTGTCCAGAGGTGAGATGGGAAGGCACAGAGGGTTAGGAGCTGGTTGAATGGACATGGGGAATCAGGGGTGGAAAGGAGGAGTGCGCTGTCACAGTAGGGAGAGAGCAATTAGAGTCACATAACAATGTACATATAAATTTTTATATGAAAATAAATAAATAAATAAAGACGTGGTACAAAGACTAGTGCAGGGCTCGGAGCTGGTAAGAGTGGGACTTCGTAGCCTGAAGGTGGGAGGGGAAGCTGCGTTTCTCAGGACCCAGAGAGTGACCGCACTGTGTCGGGGGAACTGGCAGACAGGAGCAGGGAGGCACTGGGCTCTCCAATCTCCCTCCCCTCCCACCCTCCAACTTTCTGCCAATGCTGCTGTTGGCCAACCCCAACTGGAAACCAGAGGGCAGGCAAGTCCACTGCTGCAATGCATACAGTTCAGACTCTTGGACACAGAGCCAGCTGGAGAAGGGTGAAGAGTGGGTCTGGAGGTGCCAACCCAAGATATCTTGCTCCCAGGGCCTAGTGGGCCAACTGGAGCAAACACTAATATTTCACTCTGGGCCGGCAGCTGGTTTCACTTACCAAACGCATGCAAGAAAAGCTGGAAGTGGCGCATCCTGTTTTCAGGAAAACAATAACGCGCCTTTGAAAACATTTAACTCCTAAAATCAAAACGTCTCAGCTCCTGCTCTCCTCATCTGAGACCCTCCTTGTCCTCAGGGATGCGAAGTCCTGCTGAGTAGAGAGAGATGACTGCTTCTAGCTTGGGAGGGAAAGGCTTCTCTAAGTGGGGCCTGCCAGCGGGCAGCAGTTATCTATTTTTATTTCCCCTTTAACTGTCAATTAGAGTACTTACATTTGTAAAAGGTACTGAAAGGATGAGAGAGGCTGGGTGGGGGCGTCAATTTCTGTTTTCTCATCCTTGTAGGAAAAAACGTTAACTCCCACGTCCGTGGAAGGCCCCCTTCGCTCTAAATTATCTCCATTTTTTCATAAGAGCAGTTGGTTTGAATTCTTTGACTTGACCCCCCTTTCTTCTTGGAATTGGCCAATTCTGGTTCCTGGTGAAGGATCTCTCCCTGCTGTGGCCACCTTCTGTTTTATGCATGTAATTATCTGCTTTCTGACTCCCCACCCCCCCATGTTTTCAAGGTCTCCATAGTAACTTGGACTTTGTGAAAAGAATAAAGCAAGCAAACACAGAAAAGTAAATAAGCATTGTGAAGGGAAATGTATGCCAACAGGGGAGAATGGTATGCTCTTGGCATGCATGTACCGGATCCAGTGCATACACTGTCTCTGCAGTCCACATCCACCCGGCCGCTGTTCAACAACAACTTCAGGAGCGCCACGTTTCCTCTCCTGGCTGCCCAGAAGGCAGCGTTTGCAAGGGGAGTTTCCTTCTGCAGAAACACAATGGAACAGGAGTCTTAAAACAAACATTGGTTAAACCAACCACTTCTGTGCAAATATATAATACCATACCTTTATGAACACTCAAAAGGGAGAAATTTCCAGATGTGCCATATCATTTGGAAGACTGCTTCTCCAGCAATTGGTGATAACACAACTGGTGATGGAATGTATGCTGTTTTCTACCAGATACCTGAGCCACACGTTGTTATGAAAAGCAACGCTATTGACAAAATACAGCACTATTAATACTCTATTTCCCACCAATGTCCTTACTTTCCTGCCTCTGTGTCTTTGTTCACAGTTTCCTTTTTGCTTGAAATGAATTTTCCCCCATCATTTCAAGGTCAAAGCTCTGCTCAAATGCTATTTCCTCCTGGAAATGTTCCCAAATCGCTCTTCACCTCTAAACTGAGCAAAATCTCTCCCAATTCTGACTCCCGAAGTTTACCTGCACCTTTTTCTCTGTCCTCACCACGTTCTACCATGACTCCAGCTACCCGGGGAGATGCCTCATTCCCCTGCACCTAATTTTCTTTGCTGCAGCTGGAACTTGCCAGAGGTTTTAGTTGAGAACCAGGAACTGTGGGCAGAAAATACTGTTACATGTCCTTCTGTGGATTCTTCACTCCACTGCTGGGTCATTTTAAAGCTGCCAAGTTAATGCTGGAACCAGATCCATGGAAAGCATCGAGCTGGAAAACAGTTCTCCAAGAAGAGAATGGCAGGGTTGACTGTAATACAATTTCCATCTCTCAATCAATCAATTTGGATTTGTAGAGAATAGCCCATCAGTGGGAGAAGGTCCTTGGAACCAGGCAGCTCTGGATTTCAATCCTAGCCCTGGGCAAGTGATTGGCCCTGGTGAGTCCCAGTTTCCTCCTGGAGGTGGAAAGCACAGTGCCTGCCTTGATGTTTACAGTTAGGATTAAACGATGTAGACTGATCACCTAACGCAGTGCCCAACACACCAAAAATGCTTACAAATGCTAGTTTTCTTCCCTTCCCTCTATCCACTTCCTTTACAAAGTCAGAATCAATAGGCAATGTTAAATTCAAAGCATTGGGACTGATAAAGCATTCTGCTTGTCTCAGGGAATTTTAGAGTATTAAAATTGTTTAATAAAAGCATTTTTCGGTGAGTTTAAAACCCCCCACCCAAAAAGCCTTTTATGCAATATGTCTTTTTAAATGTATGTAAAGTATTAAATAACTGTTTTCTGGGTGGTGCAAACAGTACTCCATAGGGGTTTCAATTGCTGATTTTTCGTAAGCAGATCGCTAGGCCTTTCTTCCAAGGCACCTCTGGGTGGACTTAACCCTGCAACCTTTTGGTGAGCAGCTGAGCACATTAACCATTTGTAGCACACAGGTATTAAATACCACACAGATAAGGTATTAAATAAAATATAGATATGGCATTAAATACAATGCTTCACTAACTTAAAAAGAAAAACAATTTCAGCCACCAAATGGAGTCATCTAAAATGAAAGCGCAGTCACAACAGAGTAGGGCAGTACTTGTGGATGTGAGGATTTGATTTCTGAAGTCCTGCAGCACACACAAGGCTTAGTGCTCTTGTGGACATGTGGAGGAGAGCACGGTGAAGCAGGTAGTGATAAGCAGATCACAGAAATACTTGGAACAGTTCCCTGGCTCATTTAAGAGGAAAAAATCACCTTACATGTCAGGTCAACAGTTGCCTTCCCTGAAGGTGTAAGTTTTACTGTCCCAGGAGTTTCCAAAGCAGACTGCAATCACAGTATTCCCACCCCTTGTTGACTGCTTCTGCCCCAGGCTGGGTCTAATTTGTTACAGTTGTTACTGATCGCATGAATGGCAAGGCAGGTTAAACCTGTATAGTAAGTCATGAAACAATGCCCTTCTAACACACTGCACAAAGTCAAAACCAAGTCTGGGAATTAGGAAGAGAAGTTAATATGCTCTGTGGAACAGCTCTGCTGGCTTTTCCTGAAACATGACAACGGGAGAGTAATAAACTGTAACTGATTTTTTAGTAATTTTGTTGATTCACAGTGACTCCAAACACCTTTGAAAAGCCATTCGCAAACAATAAACATCAATTGTCACAACAAGTTCTCCAAACAGGACCGGCTCCTGTCTCTGGGATGGCCTCGGGGATTTCTCTCCTGTTCTGGCTGGGCACCCTGGCTTTATACATGATTTCAGAAATGGATCTTTGTGAAAAACCGTAAGGGCTCATCTATTGGGAGATGGAGGCATGACAGAGTTGTCAATTAGCACTCAGGCTCTGGGGCAAGAACGAGCTGGGTTCAAATCCTGGCCTTGCCACTTCCTACTTTCTTGACTTTGAGGATGTTTAACTTCTCTCTGTCCCAGTAAAACGGGAATAATAATAATAGTACCCTTCTTGTGTGTTTTTAGGAGGATTAAATGAGATAAAACATATAAAAATACTCAAGAAATGGTAGTTGTATATTCACAGAGCTCTAAGCTCTTTAAAATACTTGTCCAGGCAAATTCATTTTGGTCACTAGCATATGAGGGACAGTAGCCCTACCAGGGGCTCAGACTAGAGGTACAAGTCAACGTTGGTCCCTGCTCACAATGGCTTTATGGTCTAACAGGAAAATAAGTCATGTCAACAGGTATGAAAAATTACTATAGGTGCTAATGTAGGGATGCAGATGTATATGCAAAGGGCTCAAAGCAAACAATGGTCAAGTCTACCTGAGGAAGGTCGTCAGAAACAGCTCAAAGAGAAGGAAGTCTTCAGATCAGTTTTGATAGACAAATAGGGATCTCGGTGGACACAGGGGTGACAAACATCCCAGGCAGAGGGGTTGGCTAAGCAAAGACATGGGGGCTTCCACTGCATTCTGGGATCCCTCACTAGCTCAGAAGGGCTGGAGTGAAGGGTGTGAGAGGAGAGAGGGCAGGCGGACAGGGCCAATGCTGAGGCTCTGCGTGCCGTGCTGCAGAGTCTAACTTTATCCTGGTGGGTACTAGGGAGTCAATGAAGGGCTTTAGGGTAGGGAGGACACTTTCCAGTTTGCATTTCAGAAAGGTCCCTGTGCAGCTTCAGGAGAATGGTGTTTACAAGGGTTAGGAGACCACTGTAGTGGACTGCATAAGAGGTGTAAGGGACTGAGCTGAGGTGACAACAGTGGGAATGCAAGGATGAGAAAGGTGAGGGAAATTTCAAGGAGCTAAACTGAACAGTCTTGGTCTGCGACTCTATGTGGAGGAGAGGGAAAAGGGGACGTCTGGATGGATTCCCGGGATTCTGGTTTGAATGCCTGGTTGATTGTGGCACCATTCATGGAAGTCAGAAATACTGTATGAGGGACAGATTAATGAAGAGTTTCAGGTGCCTATTTTGACCCTATTACTCCATGGCATGTTTTCTCCTTTTCAAAACGGGTGACTGAGAGCTTGACACAATGCCAGGATTAACCTGTAAGTTTTTTCTGCCTGCCTTCTCCTTTCTGTATACTTTTGTTAATGACTTTGTTTTGTTCTGTGCAGCTACCTGTGACTTACGACCCACCACGGGAAGATTAGAGCCCAGATGTCTGGCATGTATATCTTTAGCCTGATAAGGAGATGTCCAGCATGCATCTCTTTAGTCTGATAAAAGAGTCTCTTGTAATTATCTGGTAATGAACAACTCATTCAGCCATGTCATCTGTGAGCTACATGCCTAAAAGACACTATGTCCCCTTTATGACAATCATATATAAGCTCTAATGTAAAACTGCCTTTCTGGACTCCACAAAGACAGCTTGCATTGCTGTTAGATTCCCCGTTGGTGATCACCTCCTAAATAAACTTTCACTCTCTTTTTGACTTGGAGTACGTTTCATTGGCTCGACTGATCCAGGGCACAGACCCTCATCAAGCAACACTATGGGCATCTAGGCAGAAAAGCCTAGTAAGGAAATAGGTAAGTGCTCCTACCACACGGGGGCTATCACATCAATAGGAGGGCAGGCATCTTGAGCTGATACTTATTAAGTGCTTACTCAGTATCAGGGAATCCCTGGGTGGGACTAACGCTTAAGCACTTGGTTACTAACCGGAAGGCTGGCGGTTCAAACCCACCCAGCGGTGTCTAGGAAGAAAGCCTGGCGATCTGCTTCTGAAAGGTCACAGCCATGAGTGCAGTTCTACTCTGCAACACATGGGGTTGCCATGAGTCAGAATCGACTCAACGGCAACTGGACTCTGTACTGCGCAGTATAACTCTGCATGTACTAGCTCCTTAAATCCACATTACAGCTCATTCAGGTGGGTGCTATTAGTGTTCCATCTTACAGATGAGGTAAGTGAGAAACGGCAAGCAGGCTTAAGTGCCAGGCAGTCTGTTGCTTGTGGCTGGTCTTTTTAACCATCACAGTGTTCTGCCTCCTACAGAATTCTCCTCCTGTAGACAGCAAGGAAGCAGTGTTGGCCCCCAATGACCTCCTTCCAATCTTGCATTCCAAGATTCTCTTATGCCAAGATGGAAAGTCCCCTGATCTTCCTTCCCTTTAGGTTCTGTACAAATCATTCTCCCTGGATAACTTCAATATGTACAATATGTACATGATTATAAATGGTCTGGAGTGAAACGGGGCAAGTCCTTTGACCTTTAAATGAATTGATGCATGTAAAATATTTTACACAAACCATAAAGTGTTTAACCAACCGTGTTATTCCTATTATACCTCTTTCTTGATTTTTCTGATCTCTACAATAAGACCAACAAGTCTCTCTCAAGCTTGTTGGCTGCAACATTATGAATAACAGCAACTAACACTGAGTGCACCAAGTACTTTAACTGCTCTAACTCACTCTACTCCCAGAACAACTCCATGAGGTATTACTGTTATCTCTATTTTTTAAACATTGTGATAAATACATATGTAACAAAAAATTTGCCATTTCAACATTCTTCACATGTACAGTTCTGATGTTAATTAATGTTTACCACATGGTCCAACCATCACCACTATCTGTTCTCAG